CCCCTTTCGGGGCCGTTATCCCCCCCCCCCCCCCCCCCCCCGACGACAGGGAAGCGTCATCGGCACCTGCACCCATTCAGTCGTGAGGTTCGCCAAGCGTCCGTCAGAAAGACTCTCATCAGCAGGGTTGTTGGGCGGATTCCCCACGTCTCATGGGGTGTTTGATTCCGCCGGCGGGGAACTTTGCATGTACCGACGAGCATTCCCCGTTCACAGGGAGTGGAAGAGCGTGATCCCGCCCGCCCATCAGAGACCGAGCAGCAGGCTTTGTCGAACGGATCATACACGCATATCAACGATTAGTTTCCGCCTACTCCTCACCCACGGGCCAGTCTGCCAGTTGGTGGACCCTGCGTGTTGATACACAAGTGAAAAGTTCTCTTGGCCATGTTTATAAATGACGGTCCCCAGTCGCAATGATACCCACGATACGATTGCAAAAGCCGCAGAGATGGCAATTGTGTGTGTGTGTCGTGAGAGGAGGTCTCACGGGAGGAAGGAGGTGTTTTTGTTGAAACGGGGAACGAAGCCCCGGGTCCTCGTGCCTCTCTCCCTTTCTGCATCGTGATGATATCTCGTTCCCCCGACCAGACATTCACTCCTTCACCCCATTCCACCGCATCTGCCTGCCTGCGCTCCTCTCCTTCTTGACCACCTCCCAGTGTAGTAGTCAGTAGTAGCAGCTAGCTTCCCCCCTCCCCCCTTTCTTGATTCCTCGTTCCCTTGGCTCTCCTCTCCCCCCTTCCTCCTCCTCCCTCGCTCACTCCGTCACTCCTGCTTCCCTGCTTCTGTCTCTCGGCAACACGCACATAGAAGAAACTTCTCTCCCAGAAACCTCAAGGAAGAATGTCAGCAGCCAACGGATTCCTCGCACCCTCCGCTCCCGTCGCCGTACGCAGGGCGAACCCAGGAGAGAAGCCTCCCCACGACTACGGTACCACTCCCGGAGGAACCATCTTCGGAACCACTCCTGGTAAACAAAAAAAAACACACCACCTTGTCTCTCCATGAACCTCTCTTTCCTCCGCTCGCCCCGCCCCCCATTCTGATCCCAACTTTTCCTTCTTTCTTCTTTTTGGATATTGTATGCAACAGGAGGAACTCGCATCATCTACACGAAGGATGCCCTCCTGAACCTGTCCCGTTCCCCCCTCGCAAACACCCCGCCACGAGGTCTGGCCTACATCCCCGGCGTCACAAAGATCGCTCCGAAAGGAACAACCCACAACGTCAACGGTTCAGGACCAAAGAAGCCCGTCAACCCGGCGGCAGCAGCCCCCGCTCACCCAAACGAGGAACAAAGCAGCACCCCCAAGAAACCCGCGAAGCAGCACGACGACAAGGACGACCTTTTCGAGATGGAGATCTGATGACACGGGATGTGGAGCGGATGGGATGGGGAGCGGATGGTGTTGGGAGAGGGAGTGGGGAACGGCATCCATCGGGGAAGGGTCGGGATGGTGGGAGAGCCCCCCATGCTCCCCTTGCGGAATTTCGAACGCTAGGGCATCGGGGCTTGCGAAAAGACACCCCGTCATCATCGAAATTGTGATGGGATCGTCCCCCCGCTCTCAGATACCGTAGTCTTTTGCTCAAGGAAAGAAATTCCATAGAGCCCCCCGCGCACTTGTACCTTGCTGAAGTTGCATCGCGGACGACATCCATCTTCCGCAAAAACCCATGACAAGATTCTCGTCAGATGAGACAACCCGAGGATTCATGCTTTACGAAGTGGTAATTCATGCGACTCGAAGGACAAAAGAGGAAGAAAAGAACAACAACAAGGACAAGCCCAAACGAGAACAGCCATTCAGACCAAGAGAAAAAAGAGCGAGATGCGCCTCATTCTCCGTCCCTTCCTCGTTGCGCGTTGGGGGTGAGATGCATCATTTCTCCTTTTCCGAAAAAAGAGTCGACTTTTTGTGTGTTTGCAGACGTGTGTTGTGTGTGTTTTCGCAATTGCGACGCGACGGAAGGGGTCGCTACGTCTACTTGGAACGCGCGCGCTGTGGGAAGAAGAAGGAAAAGAATGAGCGGGGGCGGTTTGAGAGACTGTGGGAATTCGTGCCCGGCTTACCATCTTTCTTCTCTTACGCTTGAGCCTTCGCTGACGCTTCTTCCTCCACTTATCACGCATGTCTGAGGGGAAGATTGGGGGAGACGGTTAGCATGGTGGGATGTTCGTGGTTGTGGTTCCGACGAGGTCGCATGAGGAAAGGCATCTTGGGGATAGTGGTCCGGTATCCATCCATCCCCATCCGTCCATCCGTCCATCCGCTCCCTTCATCTTTCATCCATCGTCACTTGGCCGTCCCTGAGATGCCTGACGGGAGTGGACTGGACTGGACCGACGTGAAGGGGTGCCTTGCTTCTGCCTGCTCACCTGGAGATGTGCTGAAGAGGAATGTGGTGGGGTGGAAGCGATGGTGGGGAAAGCGCTGGACTTGGCAGGGCGAGCGAGGGGCCAGCGACGGGTGGCTTGTCATCCCATTTGGGACCCGTCCGCTTTGGGTGTTCGTAACGGCGAGCGCAAACCAACGACAGGGCTCGGCTTCCTTGCTTCATCTTGATGTTCAGACCTACAATTTGAATTTCCGAGGGGATGCGCCGAGTTTGAGATGATCAAAACAATGGCCCCCCTTATTCGGCATCCCGAAGGTTTCGGTGTATGGCTGTTGCGTCGAGACGGCCATCTGATCGACGGGTAATGCGCTGTTGTCTTCTGCAGCTCACTGGTCAACCGTAGGCTTCCAGTGTCTAACGTGTCTTGTGCGCGGACGAGGCTCAACAACCTGGCGTGGCTTGAGAGTCAATCCGGGGGCCAAGCCTCACGTCTTGGTGTTGCAGACCAAAACAGGTCTTTCTCGGCCTCCCTCGCTCTCTCTCTCTCCCTCTCCTCCCATCCCATCCCATCCCTTCCCCCTCCACGAGCATACCAAGTTCCTGACTGCCCAGCTCCGGCCACGCAGAACTGACGCAGATTGACCCCCTTATCCCTCGTTTTTGGACAGCAGGACATCCCACCAGAATAGTTGCGATCGATCAATTGTCGTCTACTTTCGAAGGAGCGGGCAAAGTAACGGGAAACTCCACATAACCCCGTCCCTTCACGAACGTCTGCCACCAAACCCTCTGCTTCGGATCGGCAGCCAGGTCGACGTACAAGGACGCATGGGCATCGCCGTCCCTGTCCAGGAACGCTGGCGTGCCCGCCTCCGTGCGCTCGTCCGCGTAATAGAATCTTACACAAAAAAGGTCAGCCTTCCCACTCCGTTCAAGCAAACCACCCAGACCCGCACAGACGACATGACGACACTCACTTGAATCCCTTGTCGCCGTACGTGTCGGCGAACGATCGGACCATGTGAGCGGTGGCCGACTTTGCCATGCCGAACGTCATCACGCCGGGAAGAGGCGTGACGTTCAGGATATTGCCCGTGAAGATGAAGGTTCCCTTCGTGATGCCCGCTTTCTGCCATTCCTGGTACGTTGCCTGAGCGGCCGCCAGCGGACTCAGCGTGCTCACGGCGAGCGAGGCCGACGCGTGGGACAGCAGGAGTGGATCGGCCAGGGGGTCCGGGGACGTGATTCTCGATGCAGCTGCGGGTGTGAGAAAGACGCGTCGTGGGGGGATCAGTGTCCGCGATGGAGAAACTGGAAGGGGTGGGGGATGCGGGGGGCGTCAGGAAAATGTGACGAGTGGCTTTCCTTACCATTGTAGATCACGACGGATGGCGCACCCAGGTCACCGGCGACCTGATGAACGAGGGCTGCCACGGCTTCCGGGTTCGAAGCGTCCGTCTGGTACCGATGGATGGATCCGGGCGCGGACGGATGTTCCGATCGAGCGGCTGCAGCGACGAGGTATCCGCGTGCTACGAACTGATCTGCGACGCGTTGGCCTATGTTGGCTCCGGCGCCGATGATGAGTGCTATGGGTTTCGATGTCATGATTGTAGGATTCTAGCTCGATGGGAAATGGGGCAGACTGCACGAATCGAAGAAGCTTATGTAGGAAGCGTCTTGAGCGACTGCAGATGCGTTGCGCGCTGCGCACGAAGGATGTGTAAGCGCTTTTGATTCGTCATTTCGACTTGTATATCGATGCATGACTGTCATGCATTTTCTGACAAACCCCACCCCGCCCATGGGATGTCTGTCGAAAGATGTGAACCAGCAACTAGCAAGCAGGTCCGTGAGGGATGTCGGTTTGGTTCCTCCCCACTGGTGGCGAAAGGTCACGGCGCTTTCCCAACCCTCAATAAAGGTAGGCTCCTGTGAAGCCAGTACATCTTCTCCCGTCGAAGCGCTTGATTGCCACCCTCAAACGTGGCTTGCGTGCCTGATGAGGCTTAACAACCTGGCGTGGCTTTGACGAGGCAGAAGCCTCTTTTCTGTTGTACAACATGGAATATAGACATTAGAAAACGTGGCTTGACAAGGAAGCCCGCCTAGCTCAATCGGCAGAGCGTGAGACTCTTAATCTCAAGGTTGTGGGTTCGACCCCCACGGTGGGTTCAGATTTTTTGGTGTTTATTTTGCCCCATGGAGCGCCGTTCTTGGCAGACGACACCTGTTATCGCTTTCCGCTCGATGTCTCTTCTGGAGGCAGTTTTCGCGGCGATTGGGAGACCGTGCAGGTCTGCAGAGAACTACATGTAGCCTTGGGGAGGATGCAGCAAGGCAGCCGCCGCCGGCCGCCGTCGTAAGTTACGTGTACAAGTACTGTAGTTTTCCAACTTTCTGCACGTTTTCGACACCGCCAGTGCAGTCCAGCACGTTTTTGCGCACTTTTTCAATCTTCCACGAGCAGCCGTACCGCAGCGGTGCCCTCGAGCCTCCTCCCATTCGTCCCTTTTCCACGATGATGGCAGATGGTCGCTCTTGCCCGCAGAACACTGGGCAAGTCCCGTCGCTTCCGGTACACCTGTATGCGATAGAGCAGAGCAGATCTTCTCCCGCTTTGGGCCGTTTTGCTTTCGGCAAATGGCGCGTCCCTTGCCGATTCTGCGAAATCCTGCAGGCAGACTCCTCGGGCCCTTTCCTCCCGTACCTGTAGGAGCGAGCCACTGGTAACCGTGCATGCCCCCTTGGACGCTTGGCTCGTCTTCATTTCATTTACCGCAACAACCACCAGCCGCAGGCAAAAGAAACCCCCCGACGAAAGACATATGTGTTGCCATCGAACGCCCATCGACCCCTTGGTCCAAGTCTCTCTCATATCAACCATGTCATCAGGAGTGATCCCGTTGTCAACAACTCATCCATCTGTTCGCATCCATCCCATCCATTCCACTTGTCATCTCCGCGTACCTGTATTTGCGGAACGACAGCACGGTGAAACACGGCCCACATCCGAGAAAAGACGAACATGAAATACGTTCTAAAGGACGCCGACCCAGCACCACCGCCAAAGGGCCTTACCCACTTTTCCGTCACCGTCACCACGTCCCCAGTCATCGCCACCAAAGTCCAGGATGGAAAGATCTACGCTCTGTCCACTCATCCCTTGACATCCCGTCGGGTCGCCGGAACCATCCATCTACGCTGCGATCGAAAGCTGCCCATCCAAAGACTATCCTATACCTTCACGGGAACAGAGAGCGCCCTGCTGAGAGGTACATGGAACCCGCACATCGTGGGCACCGTGGACTCTATCGCCCAGAAGACAGTCAGATGTGCAAAGGTAACGACGAGATGAAGCTCCGATAGGAAAAGGCAAATCTCGTGATGCTCATCGTGGGGTTCACCCTCTTTCTCGCAGGTCAACGTGTTCAGCGAGCCAACCGTGCTGCCGGTAGGAGACCACCAGTTCCCGTTCGAGTTCAACGTCCTTCCCGACTACGCACCCACCTGGGACGCACCGGACTGCGGCGTTCGCTACGTCGTCCACGCCACCCTCACCCGCGGTGACAAGCCAGGCATCATGGGTCGAGCCCTCCACGACTGGACCCCGCAGTACTCGTCCCCGACCTCGGCCCCCGTCTCGATCCAGCGCGTCGTCGTGGTGCCTCACCAGTTGGAAAGGTTCCTCTTGGGTGCCCTCCCTGCGGACGACGCCGCCGACAGGAGGGAGGAGTCGGCGTCGTTGGGTCCGGCGATGATGATCGTGTCCTCACCCAAACATCTCACTGGATACCTGGACGGCACCGTCGCGCCCTTCGACCTGCGGGTCGGGTTGAGGGAGGGTGACGAGTCGTGGGTACGGATCAAGGGAATGGAGTGGAGTGTGACGCAGGACGTTGCCCTACTGTAAGGACCCATCCATCACCATCTGTCGGGGTCTGTCAAATGCATGTCCATCTCACCGTTTCCCACTTCTCTCGCTCCCTTTTGCAGAGGAAACGAAGAACGACCATCTCAACCCCTCTCCAGCACGACCCTCATCCCATGGACGCCCGTCCGGGCCGCCCACTCGAGTCAGATCACCGTCCCGACCTTCATATCGGGGCCCCTGTCGTCCCCCTGGCTCGAGAGCTACGCCGGGAGCCACCTGACGGTGACGCACGCCGTCCGGGTCAAGGTGCACGGCATCACGGGGGATGGAAGGTGGGTGTCTGGCGGCGCGGCGTTGGACCTCCAGGTCGTCGGCGTGGGCAACGGGGAGGACGTGCAGGGTCACGGTCAGCAGCTGCCGGGACGCGCGTCGGTCAAGTCGGCGTCCGGGTCGAGCAGAGCCTCCGTCATGATGCCGTCGTCGTGGATGGAGCAGGGACAGCAGGAGATCAGAGGCGTTCGTTGAAGGTACCTGCAAGACCTCAGGTGTCAGGTCATCTACCCTCCTTCGCCATGAACCCCCCATCCCGTCGGCTCCCTCCCCTTACACACTGAACATAGAATGTACACATCACCATATAATCAAAAACGAATCTCAGATATGCTCTCTCTTTTGCTCGAGCTCCCACAAGTGTTGATCGACGTTCGAGTGGGTTCTCCTCCAGCCAGTTTCTCAGCTTACGGGAAGTCATTTCGGCAGATCAGTACGTCATGATTTTCCTCGTCGTCCTCCCAGTTCCACAGAACCTTACTCTGGACTTATTCACACACAAGCCAGTGCACTTATCACCTCTTGCTCATTACCTCAAGAGACAACATGGTCGTCATGAGAAAGAGGGACGCCGCTTTCGGTCTTCTGAAACACGTACGTTCGGCAAAGTGTCCACCTTGCCTTTGTAACATGAACCCCCAACGACGAACTGACCTCGCCGAACGGTAGGCTCGCTTCACCGTGACCACGGCCCTCACCTTGACGATCCTCTACACCCGATCTCCACACGTGCTATGGTGCGCCATGGGAGGGGTGCTCTGCTCCTTCATCGGTATGTCGAACCCGTTTCGCTTCACAAACTCAAAACTCCCCCATCCACTTCCCCAGAAACCCTCATCCAGATCATCCGTTTTTTTTTTTCTTCTGAATTGATGGTCTGTTTCCCCAGCACGCGGACTGAAGGCCATCATCCGACAACCCCGTCCACCCACGATCACGGAGGAGGTCGTGGAGGAAGACTCTCCCGTCGTGGTTAAGGGAGAGAAACCACGACGGACCAGACGGGTCGTCAAACGCGTCTTCGCTTCCAGCGTCCACGGCATGCCGTCCAGTCACACCCAGGTCACAAGCTTCTTCGCAGCTTACGCTTTCCTCGGACTTTCCGTACTCCCGCGCAGTGGTAAGGAGAGAAAAGCTTCCCCCCTTCCTCCTCCCCCAATCCTGTCGTTTTCCTGCTTGTCTAGCATGTCCTGTGAGCGGG